TACATGAAGCCTTTCCTACAATTTCTAGTACTCTCAAACTACCTTGTTTATTTATTCTGTATGTGTATTTACATATGCCTGTGTATATGTCCCTGTTGTTCTCCCCATTACAATATAAGTTCTTTGCAAGAAAGGATTGTTTCATTTATTGTATTTGTCCCTAGCACTGAGCACAATGCTCAGCTCAGTCATTGTTTAATAAATACTTGTTGAATAATTGATTCCCAATGAAGAGTTTCAGTAGTATTTGAACCCACTTATTAAAAAACATAAAATTCAACACTTTTGAATTTGTGTGCAAGAATAACTGATTCATGAAGAAGGAAATTTTTTAGCTAAATTTCAAGAAAAACCCTTGTACAGTTAGTAAAGACGGACTGAAAAAAATGAGTATCATGATTTAGAAAGCACAACCAACAATGTACTTCTTCCATTTGAAGCTGCATATCTTCATGAAATATCTTTTTTAGCCGTGATAGCCAGTAAAACTAAATATCAAAATAATCAGAATTTAGAACTACATACATGTATAGGAATAGGAACAAGGACTGGGCCTGCAATCCATTGATTTAGAGAAATCCCTGATTTTAAAAAAAAATCCCTCTACCAATGCAGGTTGACAGTTTCTCTGCAACTTATTATCTTACTTAGTTTCCTAGAGCAATAATTTATAAATAAATATGCGTATGTTGAGGATACATGATTTTGGTTTTTTTTTAATTGTTAAAAGTGTGTGAGCAAAAAAGTTTGAAGAACATAAATGTAATAGAATACAAGTGGGGGCATTCAGGAGACATGGTTTCAAATCCTAATGCAGACATTTTCTAACTAATTCTGTGAGCCTGGGTAAGTTATATGACCGCTTTGAGAATAAGTGTTTTTGAATATACATTCAGCATAACAAAAACACTACCTCACAAGGTTGATGTGTAAAGCAAATGAAATAATTATGTAAAACACTTTACAAATCTTAAAGTGCTAAAGTTATAGATGAAAATGAGCTATTATTTTCTCATCTTTTTCTTTATCGTGATTCTCTTCTATCACAGGAAATAACCTTTGGACCAAAAAAGGCAAAATAAAAACAGTACATAGGGAGCTGATACGCAGTGTAAATAAGGACATAGTAAGAGATCACTTAGTTACAATTGATGAATTCAGGTCACATGGCACAAAAGAACTGTATCCCTGAGTACTGAAAAAATTGGTGGATGAGCCACCGATAGTTATATTTGAAAGGTTGTATTGAATGGATTTGTCCATTCATTAGGACTGAAGACTGATATACAGTAGTGCTGTAGGACTGAGAAAGGGCAAATTTTCTGACTTTCCCCAAACAAACAGAGTCTATAAATTATAATCCAGTGAGCTACATCCCAGTTCCTTGCAAAATTCTAGAACATAGCATATGACTTCATCATTCAACTGAAATTATTCTCTCCAAAGAGAATGCCCCAAAGAGATCAAAGATATAGGAAAAGGAGCCATATGCACAAAAATATTTCTAGCTGCTCTTTTTGTAATGTCAAGGAACTGGAAACTGAGGAAGTGATCAGGAATGGCTGACCAAATGGTGGTGTATTAATGTAATAGAATACTATTGTGTCATAAAAAATGGTGAAGACAATTTCAGAGAAACCTGGAAAGACATGGTATGAACTGGTTCTGAGTGAAGTAAGCAGAACTAGAACAATTTATAGAATAAAGACATTGTAAAGACAGCTCTTAAAGAGTTAGGAATTCTGATCAATTCAGTGACCAATCATGATTCTAGAGGAATGTGATGAAACGTGCTACTCACTTCTTGACAGAGAGATTATGTACTCAGGATGCATATTGAAACATATATATTTTTGGACATAGCCAATGTGAAAATTTGTTTTGCTTGGTCATGTGTATTTGTACAAGAATTTTGTTTTTCTTCCCCCTTCCTTTCCAGTGAGCATGTAAGAGGGAGAAAAAGTAGATTTTTCTTATTTAAAAAATAAAATTTAATTTAAAAAGAAACAAACCCTAGAACGTTATCAATGATCTCTTAATTTTCAAATCTAATTGCGTTTCCTCAGTTTTCATTGTTCATGATCTGTAGCCTTTGATACTTTGAATCACCCTATCTTCCTGGATACTCATGAAAGTACTTTTTCGTGGCTGTCTTTCTATCTTTCTGTACCTTCTCATTCTTCTTTGCTGGATCCAGGTCACACCCACTATATGTGAGTGTGCCCCAAGGTTCTGTCGTAGGACTTCTCTTCCCCTATATTTTATCTTTTGGTGATTTTATCATCTCCCATGGGTTTAACTATTAACTCTATGCAGATGGTTCCCACATCTATATGTCAAGCACTAATCTCTCTCCAGAGCTTCAGTACCACCACATCACCACATCAACTGCCTTTTGGACATCTCAAATTGGATATTACAGCATCTCAGACTCAACATGTTCAAAACACAATTCATTCTTTCCACCTTCATACTCAACCCTCTCCTCTTCCAACTTTCCTGTTACTATTAAGGGCTCCACCCAGGCTTTCAACCTTGGTGTGATTCTCTACTTGAACTCACTTCATATATCCAATCTTTTATCAGAACTTTTTTCTACCTTCACTACATCACTTTCTCCAAACTCACACAGCCACTACCTTTGGATAGACCCTAATTAGCTCTTCTGATCGGTCTCTCTGCCCCACATCTCTCCCCATGCCTATCCATCCTTCACTAAAGGGCAGGTCTTACCATGGCATATGCCTACTCAGTGACTCCAGTGACTCTCTATTACCTCCAGGATCAAATAGAAAATGCTTCATTTGACATTTAAAGTCCTTTATCACCTGACCCCTTCCTACTTTTCCAGTCTTCTTATACTTTACTTCCTTCCATGTGCTCTTTGATCCAGCTCCAGTGACCTACTAGTTCCTCACACCTGAAACTCCATCTCCTGCCTGCATTTGCCCTGGCTATCCTCTTTTCCAGGAATGTCCTCCCTCTTCCTCCTCTACCTCCTAGCTTTCCTGATTTTCTTCGAGATTCATCTCAATACCCCCTGTGGGAGGCATTTCCCTCTCTCCTCTGCTAGCTCCTTCCCTCTGAGATTGCTTTCTATTTATACTGTATATGTACATGGTTATTTGCATAAAAGGTACCACGTTTTTGCTTTTCTTAGTATTCCCATTTCTTGGTACAGTGCCTGGCACATAGTAAGTACTTAGTAAGTTATTATTGACAACTTGCTTAGTGGATGTCTAGAAAAGGAAATGGTATGTACAAAAACCAGTGGAGCTTCACAAGAAATGGGGTCATTCCAAAATAACCTTATGTCCTTTTTTGACAGGGTTGCTTATCTGTTAGATCATGAAGATGCTGTGTAGATCTAGTTTACCTTGATTTTAGCAAAACATTTAATAAATTAGCTCATGCTATTCTTGTGGGAAAAGATGGAGAGATATGGCCATACAGTTTTGTGTGTATGTCACCATAGAGTTAAATGGAATTGGAACTGTTGGAATGACTGAATTCATAGTAATCATTAAAGGTTTGACATCAGTCTTACGGGACCTTGTAAGACAAGGTGCTGGTTTTTGCCCTGTGCTGTTTGCCATTTTTATTAGTGACTATAATAAAGGTATAAATGGCATGCTTATCAAATGTGCTGATTATGCAAAGCTAAATATTATAGTTAATGTACAAGATGACAAAATTAGAGTCCAAAAAGGTTTTGGCAAGCTAGAATTCAATAAGATGAAATCTAATAGATATAAATGTAAAGTTTTACCCTCGAATTCAAGAAATGAATTTCGTAAGTATAAGATGGGGGAGGCATGACTAGATCGCAGTTTATCTCATAAATATCTGGGGATTTCAGTGATTGAAAGCTCAGTCTGAATCAGTCCTGTGATGTGACTGGCAAAACAAAAACAAAAAAATAGCATGATCTTGGACTGCCTTAAGAAAGGCATAATTTCCAGGTGATAATCCTTATACCCTGCCTTATCAGACCTTTAGTTCTGAGTGCAATGTTTTAAGAATGACTTTGCTCTTGGTACTTTGTCTAGAGTAAGCATAGAGTAGTAATAGAGTTTCCCTCAGAGTTAGAAAGACCCCAGTTCAAGGCTAGCTCTTGACACATGCTGTACTTGTCACCCTGGGCAAATCATTTAACATTTCAATGCTTCAGACACTGAGGGAGAGTCTAGATTAGCTCCATGGATGAAATCACAGATCTGTATTTAAATAAAAGTATATCCATAAGCATATATAACCTATGCATAGTTTCCTTAATCTCTAATTGTCATGAAATGCTGTAACACAATAAAATAAAATTTGGCTAACTTTTTAAAATGCAGTGTGGCATCATGAATAGTGCTTGCTTTGGAAATGTGGATTCAAATATCACTCCTGACACTTAAATCATTGAGCAAGTCATTTTACTGCTCTGAGACCCAAGCAGTTTCCTAAAAACTCTCTCCTGTGGTGATTTGTATTAACAGGAGGATTTCCTTCACTTTTACCTGACATTGAAGAAATCACACCTCCTTCAAATATTTTCATAGCAATAAAAAGTTTCAAAAGACAAACTTTTTTTTAAAGTGAGATACAATTTAGCCTAAAGCTGAAATAAATACACTTTTAGCTATTTGGAAAATCCATTGAGAAATCCATTGCAAAATCCATAAGAGAAGTGCCAGATGTTTAAAAAAAAATCTTAGTAGTAACGTAAGCATTTTTTCTATTTGTATTTTGTATGGAAAATTCTTGGAGCCCAGGCATTTTCTTTTTTAATAAATATGTATCATATTCTTATGTTGCCTTTAACAATACATTGGGCAGCTAAAGTAATAGTTTTAGTAAAATTGTCAAAATTAGTCAGCCTTAGGACCTGTAATGGTTGTAGTTTATTATCAAAGTAAATTACAATATCAAAATATGTAAGTATACAATAAATATGCAAAACAGGTTATAATGTTGTCACTAGTCAGATAACTCTGTATTGTCTCATAATTTAGGTTCTAAAGGTTGGCAAAGTTTGTGCTGATCGTACTAGGATTTACCACCAGCTGAAACATTTCAAATACAAGTTGTACCAGGAATGTTGCTCTATTGCAAAGACTGAAGAAGTTGAAGATGAACAGGTCAAAGAAACTGTGGAACGAATTTTCAGTCAGTCAAAAGAGAGTGGCTGGATTCAGGAGGTAAATTGTATTCTTTGTTATTATAACAGTGATCCCTTTCAGTTCAGTAAGGAGTGTTTAACAGCTAACCAGCAATTGGAAATAACTAGAGAAAACAAAATTTAAAACAGTTCTCCCTATCTCACCCTTTCTTCTTTATTTTCTCTTCTCCCCATATAAGCCTTTTCCATGCACATTGTGTTTTTTTCTCTTGCATAATCACTCAAGACATGAGTGCCTTCACTCTATCAAATAATTTTAAGAGGCAGTGAGACTGTGGCAGACATATTACAAAGTCAGTAGAATAAAGCCTCTACCTTCTTGCTTTACACTCATGTTGTCTTTTATACTTAGTGAGTCCACCTTTCCCCCTTTTTGACAAAGTACAAGATTTAACCTGTGCCTGTCTGCATTCTATTCTTTAGACTAGTTCATGTGACTTGGGAATGAGGAGGCACCTGAGGCTAGGCCTGCTGCCACCCACATCCTCCTCTTGGGGACATAGAGCTAATTAGTGAGGACTAGAACTGAATTTGAAGAGGAATACAGAAGTTTCAGGCCACAGTACTGATTTTTTTTAACCCTCCTTCTCATTGGTAGTAAATTTGATAGCAGGGATATATCTGATGGTTTTAAAAAGTATACCTAGCCTTCTAAAGATCTCTTGGCAGCTTACAAACTCTGGTGTGGTCAGATAGCTGTTTGGATTGTTTATTTTACATTTTTAAAAAAGAGAATGTAATAACAGTCTTTTCAATCATATCTAGTAATACAAATGCTTAAGACATGACAAATAGATTTCCAAGTAAACATAAGTTTTCTAGCTAGGGCTTTATCCTAAATTTTTAATAAATTACTGACCTCTGTAATGCCTGAGGGTATTTAGAGGAAATTTAGTAGAAAGGAAATAAAGGGAAGTTAATTTTGACAACAAACTCTCCATAGTACTAAGCAAAGGGAAGAAGAAAAAGGGAACAAAAAAGTAGGAACTACTCAATTCATTTCTTCCTCTTTGTAGGGCTATCCCCACAGGGAATGACGTTGTTGGTTTTCCCCTTTGGTAATTATCCTTCCTCCATGCTCTCCTTTACAACCACTCTCATTTTGACCTCTTAGATTTTTTTCTTTCTTTCTTTTTTTACTTAAGCTTTTTACCTTTTGCTTTCTTCCTCTGAAAACAAGTTCTACTCTTTCCTACCTTTCTTACTCTTCATCATCCACCTCTATGTTTTATCATCTGTATTAGAGAAGAGAAGGGAGATCCATGCCCTACTCAGCAACTTCTGCCACCACCTTCCCAGGTAGCATCTAATCTTTATTTCCTTTTGTTATTGTTTATTGTTTTATCTACTTTACTTACCTAATTGAAGACTTACCTTTTGCATCTTTGCTTCAATAGAGGATTGTATCCCTTTTTTAGAAAGAAATTTTCTAAATAAAAACATACAGTAATTTTTAAAAAGTTAAAGAAGATCAAGAAATGGAAACATTTTCTAGAAACGGTATCTTTTGCCAATCACATACCTTGTAGGAAGTTTAAGAAAAGCTGTCCCAGAAGTTTGGGACAACAGAAGTGACTCAGTTCCTGCATCTAGAAAAGGAAAGGCTATTCATGGTGAAGGAAGACAACTGCATCATATTATATTAAGAAGAATATCATTTTACATTTGACACTAAAGGGATCTCAAGGTTATGTGTATCTAGGGCTAAATGCTCTAAAAGATCTTTATTTTATTCTCAACTATTACTCTTCCCACTTAAAAATGTTTTGTCTCTAGGACTTCTTAAATAACTTAATTTAAACCTAAATACTTTAAACCCCAGATAAATTCTAATGCACCCTCCATGCTGCAATTAAATTTAAAAGCTGTAAAGGATCCTGGCATTCTCAAGTTGAAAGGATACATCTATCCTTTTCTCTGGGTCATCTATGCACAGTGCTTCCCTTCCTGTACCCTCTCAGTGTAATTGCTGCAGTCCCCCACTATCCCTGCCATTCTCCGCTATCTGAATGCTCTTTAGCTTTAGCTTGTGCTTTCCAAACACATCCATCCCTATTACCTGACTCAAACTATATGATGATGTTATTCCCTCCTCCTACTTGTATTTTTTCTTCTCCTTGTTTTCCTTTACAGTCCCTTTCTCCTACTTTCCCCAACCCCAATTTATCTTCTTCCCAGAAAAGGCTCCAGCACTGTACTAAATTAATAGATATTATCCTATTTATGGATATCTCCTGATATGCTCCCAGAGACCTGTCAAATGGGCTATTCTCTCATTCCGCTTATTCCTCCCTTATTTTCATGTTCAAAAAAAAAACAGAATAACTGTTGTTACTCTGATGTTAATGAAAGAGCATGATTTTCAGTGATTGAAAAAGGAACAAACTACAGCAAAATATAATAAAAACATGGGAAAATCAAAATATATTATAAAATCATAAAAGTACATACTGCCTACTTTAAGTAGAGAAAGAAAAGATGTAACACATCAAAATTATAACATGTTTTTTTCCTTTAAGGTGCACATAAGTGCTGAAACTTCCTAGGTAGTTTAGTAGAATATTGTTACTCTCTGGGAGAGCATATAAGAAGCAGGAAATAAAGATAGTGTGTCAATTAGCATTCTTTGTAGTTGTGAGTAATTCATAAATAGATTGTGTACATACTACATTATGTAAACACGGGTTTGAGTTGATTGAATAGTTGCACTTCTGTTAGGATCTTGGTAATTGGGTAAAAATATGTTGCTTGAAAGAGAAAGCTGAAAAACTATGATTTTCACTTTTATATTTACATTTTGAGAGGCAGCATGACATACTGGAATGACAGTCAGTTTTGGGCACAGGAAGACTAGGGTTGAAGTCCTGCTTCTGACACATACTAACTGTAGTAGGTCACTTAATCCTCAGTGCCCCTGTTGTTATTGTTGCTGTTTAGTTGTGTCCGAGTCTTCATGACCCCATTTGGGCTTTTCTTGGCAAAGATACTGGAGTAGTTTGCCATTTTCCTTCTCCACCTCATTTTACAGATGAGGAAACTGAAGCAAACAGGGTTAAGTAGGTTGCCCAGAGTCATGCAGTTAGTAAGTGTCTGAGGCCAGGTTTGAACTCAGAAAGATGAGTCTTCCTGACTCCAAGCCTGGTACTGTTTATCTACCAAGACACCTAGCTTCCCCAGTATTCCGTGCAACTCTCTAAAACTCTAGGTTTCACATTAAGTTGCTGATCTTCATGAGAGTAGGGATTTTCAGCATTGAGTTCCTTACACAACTGAAATCACAGGTTCAACCTTAAAAAAAAAAAAACTTCCCTTTACTTTTCTTAAAACTGGAAATCCTTGATTCCATCAAGGCCCCCATTTATACTGTTGGCTCTTTTTGCCTTCACCACGAATTACAATTAATGCTACTCTTATTTATATGCCAAATGAGGTTCAATTCATCTTCGATCGGTTTTTGCCCTCTGTGAAATAACCATTATTTTTGTTGTATGTGCAGAAATATGATCAACTTGAAGAATATCTCAATTTTGCGGATTACTTTCATGATGAGAAGTTTGACTAAGTTGTAACACTTCCTTTGGAGAAGATTTTGTAAAATTGAGATGAACATGAAGAACAATGAGTACTTGTTTCTGCATACCATGCTGAATATATTTGCACATTTTTGAAGATTTTCATAGCAAAAGCTCTTGTTTTTAAATATATAGGTCCATTTTAATTTTTGTGAAATCAAATCAGTGATCTTATTTTAATATTTTATCTGTGGTACATAGAAAGCGTATGCTAAATAATTTTTTAAAAGCTAATCAGTGTATTTTTAAAATCATGCCAGTGACTGTGTAATAGATTACTATGTGTCAAGTATATATGAGTTGTTAATTTCATGCCAGTTTGATGGAGATATGTTGTATTTTAAAGTTGTATTTGGTCTTAAATATTTATGTGTATTTATTGCCTTCCCTCTCCCAAAACTTTTTGCCTGTCCATCTTGCAGTATTAAATGACCTTCACTAACATGTTATTCATGCTATGAACTAAATCAGTGGGCTGGAAGAAATCTCAGTAGACCTTCAGTTTATTCCCCTTCCCCCCCCACCCCCCGCATCTAACCACTGCAGGACTGTACCTCAACCCCCTAGACAGAATAGTGTCATATGTGTTCTTAAATATCCCCTCAAACGGGATTTCAGACCTCTTATTAGTCCATTCCAGTATCTCAAAATCCTCACACTCAGGAATACTTTAATGTAGTGTCCTTTCATGATATGGGATATTCTTTCTTTGTGCTTGCTCAGTGTTAAGCCTAGATATAAATGATTGAGGTATATATTTTATATTTTTTAAATTGTAAATGTTCCCATATCTAAGTTTATTTAATCTGTGGAGATGTAAAAATGTCAAAGGTGATTTTTAGCCAAAAAATACCCTTAGAAAGTATATTTTGTCTTGTGCCAAATCTAGAAAAATCCAGTTTAGACTGGTGAAATAAGTTGTACAGTTTCAGAGGAAACAAATGGGCCTTGTCAGTTGTTTGTCTTTTGTACTTGGGAGTCCCTCTGAAGTAAGACCAGCTTTTGTAGTGTGGACTTCAGTATAACATAAGTTCATCTTGGCCCTTTTCCAATGTGGCTTAGATACAGGAAGTATCAGATGGACACCATTATAATATGGTCTCAACAATATGTTCCATGGCATAGACGCCAAGGACAGAGTCAAATGAAGCTTTGGTGTCTAAAGCTGGATACTATTAAAGACTCCTTAATTATCATTTTTTCAATTCATTTCTTAAATATGGCTCCTCTCATAGTAACCTACTAAAAAAAAATCCCACAAGATAGAATGGATTTGTCAATGTATAACAGTATTGTGGAGCACATAGTCTTAAAAGTGTGGATGACTGAAATTTCACTTGCAAACCTCTTCATTCTTCTGGATGGCTCATGGAAATAATTCCTAGCTGCTTTCTAGGGAAGGAAACAAAGAGTTGGAATAAGAGGATTAAACTGTTCAGAGAGGAACTGTTTAAGCAAGGAGAGATTGGGAGAGAAGTGATAGTCAAGGTGAAAGGTAGATGGAGTATGAGAAGATAAAATGCGATAAATGAATTGAAACAAAGAAGAGCAGGAGAAACAAAGACATTGGCTTCCTCTACTGTACTTGACTCTTGACTCTGGAAACTACCCTTCCTGTAAAGTCCAGGGCAAAACAGAGAGGCCAGGAAAGTGCCCAGACTGGATAATTCTTGAAATACAACAAGAGTCTAGTGAGCCGAGGCATTTTATGTAGTGAATAACAGTGTGGCTGCAGCTGAGAAGTACTTATGAGTAGCTTCTCAGATATCTATAGTACTTTTAAAATCCTGAGATCATTATTCCCATTCCTACTCCAAAGTTCAGTATTTGTTTTACCTAATAAAAAAGGAAAAGTTTTTAGGAGCAGGATTTTTAAAAATATTTTTAAAGAAAAACCACTATGAACCATCAGAAAGGGACAGGCTGTTAGGTGGTACACTTGGTGCCAGTCAGGTGAGGAGAAAAATAGTTTGTACAAAAAGCAGTCTGTAGGCAAATTAAGAATTTTGATAACATAGAAATATCCACAGCATTATTAAATTTCAGCTACTATTAATAATAGTAGATACATCATTTCTGTAGTATTTGAAAGAACTTAAAGAGTTTGTGAACTTGTTAAACTAGTTCATGGGCCACCCAATAGGGGTGAGGGAAGAACTACCTATAAGAGTATTGATTTTCCGAAAATAGTTATTACAATTTCAAGTGCTTGAATATGTTTGTCTAAATCAAATAAATGGAGACTGGTGGTGGCAGTAGGGGAAAAAAAGGAAAGGAAGGACAAAGTGTTTTGTTGGATAGTTGTAGTCTAAGGATCTGCCTTCTCCTTTTGCCCAGTAGCATTGTTTGAGGAGAGAATAGTAGTGCTAAGTGACTATGTAAGCCACTCATTCTTTAGGCTTGCCACCCTGAACCACTCTCCACTCCGCCCCCTTCACCCCCAGTGAGGCTCAGTTATGAGGCCTTCTTAAGTCAGGACAGCTAGAAGGTTGAAGCTTAGTCCCTGAGGTGTCCCATAGGTGGTTTGCCCTAGGAACCATTAGTAACACTCTTCTACTTTATTAATTCTTTTTTCATGTTTCTCAGTTTCCTTTTAGGACTCATCCTCTTTCTGATAGCCTTGGCCCTCCCCTCTCTCTCTCTCTACAGTCTCTACTATGGCACTCATGTTTCTACTCATGGCTTAAGCTACCATTTCTACTTGAAATAATTCCCAAATCTGTGTCTCTAACCATGACTTTTTTTCTTAGGTTCTAGACCTTTATATACAGCTGCCTCCAAGATATCTTAATCTAGATGTCCCACTGGCACTTCATACTCAATATGTCTGGTGCTGAGCTTGTTATCTCCCACCACCCCTATCTCCCACTCTCACTCCCCCCACCCCCCCCCAAGCTAAATCTTGCTCCTTCCTCTGACTTCTCTGTTTTTTGCCATTGGCACATGCGTTCACTGAGTCTTTCTATGTTCAGATTCTTAGGGTTATTTGGACTTTTTTTTTCCAGACTTTTGTCTAGTTAGTCACTAAGTCTTGTGGATTCAACAGCCATATCATTCACAGCCATCTTCCCTTTATCCAATTGCCACTACCCCGTATAGACATTATTACCATTTCCCCTGATTCATTCTTATGAACTCCCTCCCTTTCTAACTATCCTTTAGCATAGTATGGTGGATAGAGTGTTAAACTTGGAGTCAGGAGGTTCTGGGTTTACATCCAGGCTCTGACCCTTACTAGTTGTGTGATCATAGGCAAATCACTTAACCTCTCTGAGCCTCAGTTTCCTCATCTATAAAATGAGGATAGTAATACCTGTAGTACCTACCTCACAGGGTTGTTGTGAGGATCAAATGAGATATTGTATGTAAAGTGCTTTGCAAGCTTTAAAGTGTTACATATATATATAATATATATATATATATACACACATATATAATTGTCAGCTATTATGCTTCTGCCAGAGTTATCTTCTTATCCATAGGTCTGGTCATATTGCTCAGCTCAAATATCTTCAGTAGCTCTCTGTTGCCTACTGAGTAAACTTCATATGCCTTTGCCTGGTATTCAAGGCCCTCTACAACCTGGTGCCCCTCTACATGGTGAGGTGGAAAGACCACAGGGTTTGGAGTCAGGGGACCTGAGTTCAAATCCTGGCTATGCTACTTACTACCTATATGACTTTGGTCATTTAATTTCTCTAGTCCTTAGTTTCTTCTTCAGTAACTTGAGGAGGTTGGACTAGATGATCTTTGAGGTCTCTCTAGCTCTAAATCCTATGATCCTACCTTTCCAGCCTTATCTTACATTAATCCCCTCCATATATTCTGCTCTGGCCAAACTGGACTTCTCTTTCTCCCCTAACACACCCTGTGCTCTCTTGCCTCTGTGCCTTCGCTTAAGCTGTTCCCTATGCCTGTAATGTTCTCCCTACCTTTTGAATTCCTTACCCATCCTTGAAAGCCCAACTCAAATGCCACCTTCTTCCTAGAAGCTTTCCCTGATCCCTGTTGTCAGTGATGACCTTCCCTTTTGTACCTCACATGGCACTTTGTTTTGCACTGCTCTAATGCACTTGTTATGTATTATTGTACATTATGGTTGTCTGTGTATGTGTCTTATTTCCCTACTAGACTGTAAGCCCTATGAGGGCAGGGACCATGTCTTATCTAAACTTTGTATCTCTCAGCTCCCAAACAGTGCTCTGCACACAGTTGGTGCTTAATAAATATTTGTTGAATTGAATTGAATGTGTACTTGAAATTAAATGTCTATGGGTACAATAGATAAATAAGTAGATAGATTTTTCATCCATACCCCTGGAACACAAAATAGAAATTTTATCATTGCATAATTTATGAATCTTTGACTTAAAAAAAAGTTTCTTAGCACAAGGATTAGTGCTTACAATTTTATAGAAAAATTAATTTAATTCCCTAAACTGCTTGCTTATATCCATAAAGCCAGACTATTCCAGGACTGGTAGTAGAGACATTTTATAAATCTGATTATGTTGTTTTTCATCATATTAACTTTTTAGGTGTAAATGAAGTAATCATTTTCCATACATCTTATCATACATTCATGGATTCACAAAATCTTTTTACAAGTTCTGCCCTTTTGACCTTAAGGGGATTGAACCTGGGAAGTATAAGGGACAGATAAAAAGAAGGTTGTCTTTATTTTAAACACTTTTAAATTATGCACCAATGAAAAGATTAGTAAAGATTTTTTTTTTCAGTTGGAGTTAATGTCTACCCAGTTCCAAACCAACACAGGAGTCTGTGGAGAAAAAAAACAAAAACCAAAACCTGAGAAATATGCTACTATATGGGGAACTGAAATATTTAAATAAAAATGAATGAATAAATAAATAAACCATAGTCTCAATGCATTCCCCTTTACCTTACCAATTCAATTAATTAATTTACAAGTTTGTAAACATTGCTAATGCAGAGTCAGTGTGGAATAGTTAGAGAGCTGGAGTAGGGTTAGCAAGACCCGGGTTCAACTCAAATACAGGTTTGTCAAATGACCCTGGGCAAGTCACATCCTCTCATTCTCCAGGGCTGGGATCAACTCTCTAAGCAGAAAAAGTGTTAGCCTACCTTGATACACCTACATCAAAGACCTAGTCTTAGAAAATGAAAAAAAAAAAAGAATCTGTCCTAAAGACACCATAGGTTTAAATGCATTTTAAGCTGTTGAGGAACCATCTGGTGTCCACACAAATATTTATGATTTCATTCATATACCAAAGAGATGCAAACACTTCACTGAAAGTCCCTGGAGAATTTAGGTGGTACACAGCAATTTCATGGACTACAAAGAACAGCAGTCTACTTCTTAGTTGAGTTGTTCAGTTATTTTTCAGTCTAATCTGACTCTCCGTGATCCCGTTGGGGTTTTCTTGGCAAAGATACTGGAGTGATTTGCCATTTCCTTCTCCAGCTCATTTTACAGATGAGGAAATTGAGGCAAACAGAGTTAGGTGAATTGCCCCAGGTTACACAGCTAGTAAGTGTCTGAGGCCAAATTTGAACTCAGAAAGATCTGAGTCTTTCTGATTCCAGACCCTGTGTTCTATCCACTTCAACACCTAGCTGCCCTACTTCTTAGTTATAAGGAATGGATAAACCCACTTAATGATCCCTCATAAAACATTTTACTAAATGTTGGTTTCCCTGTGTTGCTCCCCAGACTGATCTATAGGAACAGCACCTGCCTTCCACGAGCTTACAACCTACAGTGACTATTGCTGTTTTTAGTGTCAGTAATTTCGATGTCCTAGTCATCACCATGTGGCAGCTACTAAATGGTTCCCTTACAATATTTAAAAAAAATGAAAACGGAATCTTCAGAGGGAAGATGTAAGTTTGAAAGGGAGAACATATTCCCTGGCTGGGAATTTCTTCAATATTTAGAGCTGATGAGCTAGTAGGAGAGAGATTGGGGAATTTCCCTAGCTTTCCCCCACCAGAATTCTTTCAGTTGAGCATCCAAGAACAGCTCTTTCTGATTTACTTCTTCTGCCACTGGGAGGCCCTCTGTGCTCCTCTTTCCCTTCTGCCCATCTCCAATTAATTACTCACTGGTGCAGTGGCACCAGCCATCCACCAGGGAGTCTCCAAATAAGCTTGCTCTCCCTCCCCCCCCCCCCCCCCCGCCCCCCCCCCCCCCCCCCCCCCCATCTGCAGCTTTGCTGGCTCTCTCTCTTTCTCTCTCTCTGTCTCACTCTCTCTCTTTCTCTCCTATCCGAGCACAATGAAAGCCTGTGTATCTCCGTGACTCCGGGCAGTGAAGCGAGTGTCAGCAAAGCGACTAACAACAGAGGAGAAAGAGAAAGGAAAATACCAGCTACTTTTTTTTTTCCATATATAAATCGGAGCGATCCAAGAGATTCACATTGGTCACTGCGAGTCCAAACCCCGCAGATCAACTGGCCGGGGATGGAATGTACAAAAACAGAAAGGAAAGTGACTGGACGTTACTTGGTGCAATACGCTGGAAGTTTGTAAGTTGGACTATCATTTGTAAATTACTCTGGGAAGAGTTGTTCTCTGTTGATACTGTGTCTCAATAGAGCTCGGGTGGGGAAGAGCAGCATAAGCGGGAAAGCTATGCGCTAAGTGATCTGCCTGGCTAGCTACTTCAGGTTGCTTTCATTAAGCAAAGGGAACCTTACAAGAGATGAGGCTCTTACCAGTGACTGGATTCGCGGAAGAAAAGAGCATGGTCTGAAAGTCCAGTTATTGACATTGAGAACAACCGAGAAACTGTCTCCCTCTTTTTGGGGGGAGACGAAATAGAGGAGCTCTGTTGCAGCAGCGACAGTAACCAAACAAGGAGGAAGCATAGGGAGCACAGAGGGGAAGAGGGAGAGAAAAAAAGAAATTAAAACCAAAAAGACAGTAGTTCCTGTTGGCACATTGCGATTCTCGCCTTCTAAACTCTATTCAAAAGGCAGCACATTTTTTTTTTAAAACATGAGAAAAAGTGACTGTGGTGAGGTCATGAATCCAGGCAGTTTTGCATTGTGCTTCTTTGCTGAAATTTCCCCATAAAGAAATATAAGAAACAAGTAGGTAAGGGGGGTGTGGGGGAGTCCAGGTCTTGATTAACCTCTCTCTCCCTCAACTTCTTTCTGTCTTGCTTTCTCTTGACAACTCCTGAGTCCTTAAAGCTAAACCCTGTATCCTATAACATTTGCAAAGTACGCAGTGGCTCTTGTCAGCCTGGTTTAAAAAAAAAAAAATCTCTCAACTCTGCCCAACTTCTCCAGAGCTGTCAGATGCAATTAGAGTAAATTGATTAGGGTTTGTTGTCATCTTACTTAGCCTTTCCAATTGGCTTCCTCCCCACCCTTCTTCCATCAGGCTATTCCTCCACCCCTTAACTTCTTCACTCCTCCTCCAAGCCTCAGTTTCTCCATACTTACTCAATATACATGTGGCACTAAAAACAGAGTCTATATCATTATTGTTAATAATAATTATTATTATTATTATTATTGAAAACAGAACTTTCCAGAACTAGCCAGATTTAACCACCATAATATCTCAGAGGCAGCAATCATTGTGGCCAATAGGATGGGGGACACAGCTCCCCCTCAGGCCCCAGCAGGTGGGTTAGGGGGGGCTCCTGGGGCAGGGCTCCTTGGAGGAGGCTCAGTTGCCCCCAGAGTACACAGTGCTATCGTGGAACGTCTGCGTGCCCGCATCGCCATCTGCCGCCAGCATCACCTAAGCTGTGAGGGACGCTATGAGCGGGGTCGAGCAGAGAGCTCAGACCGAGAACGGGAGAGCACCTTGCAGCTCCTGAGTCTTGTGCAGCATGGTCAGGGTTCAAGGAAGGGTGGCAAACACGCTAAGGCTAATGCCAATGCCACGGCCACTGCAGCAGCTCCTACCACAGCCGCTCCTCCCCCTCCAACATCAGCAGCAGCAGCAGCAGCAGCAGCGCCAGCTCCACCACCTCCACCAGACTATCACCACCACCACCACCACCCCCAGCACCTGCTCAACAATGGCAGTAACTCTGGTGGGAGTGGGATCAATGGTGAGCAGCACCAGCAGCAGCCACCTCCCACTTCAGCTACTGGGGACCAGAGGAACTCAGCCCTGATTGCGGTAAGCAACACTTTCCTACTCATTCTCACAAGAATCTGGTGGTCTTTGGTAGCTTTGGGTTTGTGCTGGAAATGGATATCCATTGGGTGTCTGATGAGGAGTCTTCCCTTCAAAGG